TTAAACGTTCTTGGGAAGGAATCTCTAACGAGGTTATTATTGAATCTTTTAAGGCTTGTGGCATTACAAATAGTTTAGTCAATCAGGATGATTCTGATAAAGAAAACGACTATGAAGAACTAGAAATTATCGACTTGACAATTTAACATTGAAATTAGTAGAAGAACAATAGTTCATAGGTTAGAATTAAGACTTAAATCAAAAATGAGATGCATAGAAACTCCAAATTATGTAAACGCTACTTTATCTGTTAACTGCAATATTTTAATTCTAACACGAATGAAATACTATAAAATTTAGCGGTCAAAATTTTTATTGTAATCATGGTTAGCAAAATGATAGATAATTTTATCTCCACTTTATGTAACTTACACATTTTGATAAAGCAATGATTTCAGAATTCTATTCGAATTTAAGATAGGCCTGGATAAGGACGTATTCCAATAATGGTGCGTTATCCAAGGATCAACATTACATTGGACTGAAATACACGTAAAGTTATTTATGTAAAATCATTTGTCTTATAATTTACCTTTTGAAGTTTTCTCACTTCTTTTTTTTTTTTTTTTTTTTTTTTTTTATACATATTTTTATTCATTACAAAATGTACATTCGGGATCAAACAAACTTAAATGACTTGGATGCTATAACAGGTGTAGTATTGCAAGACATTATTATTTTAATCGCAAACAAACTTAAGAAGGTAATATAGATTTTCACCAACAAGATAACATATCTGACTGCTATTTTCATAGCCTTGAAATGTTATTTTGTTAGCAAACTTTATCATTTTATTTAATTATTATTTAAGGTTAATATTAACCAATGTTACTACTTTTAGGATTTTTCTCATTATATTAATAAGAAGTTGATTAGTCTGTTAGTATGGAAACTTCAAAGAGTTAGTAATGCGAATGCTAGTGATGCAAATATTCATATAAGTGAATCTGAATTTAAATTAAAGGTTCTTATTAACTATTTATACGCATTATGATTTACATTAATTTACTTTTACCAATTGAAAATTATACATTTACTATATTAATAAGCTCTTTAAAGATAACGATAATGTTAGTATAGTGATGAGGGAAATAGGTGCCGAAAATGATTCAAATACTCATAAGGTAGCTTGTTAATTTGTTTCTTGAGTGATACCGAATTAACACCTGGAAGTGATTATTCAGGTTTTCAGTGTGGCAAACCGATCGTATTTGTGATTCACTTATGTAGTAATATAATTTTTCAAAGGTCGCCACAGTAAAAACCCAGATATTCACTTGGTTTTAATTTGGTAACACTTACTTTATAAATAAGCACTATGATCTATATTAACAAATAAATATTTGTAGTTGCTTTTTTTGCTGTCTTTTGACTTGCCGAACATGGTCCGAATTCTCTTATTCTTTATAAAATACTTCTTAAAAGTGCTACCACATTTTTTACGGGCCTTATTTAGAAAATTTTCCTATACTGGTATATCCAGTTAATTCAAATATATTCAATAAATAACGTCATACGACGTCCTCTGACGATCC